ACAAAACCTGTGATTTTCCGGAACTAAAAAACCGGATTTTTTCCTGATTTTTGTTTTTTATTTTTTTTTACAGGGCTGTAACCTGATTATTTTCACCATCCAGTAAATTCCGTTTATAAGTTAAATTTTTTCTGGAAGTTGAAGAGGCAGATAGTTCTTGTTTTAAATCTTGTTCTACAATCTGGTTTTTATCAGGTTGAGAAAGATCATCATTATATTCGAATGGATCTGTAGAATCAGAATTAATAGATGGTTTAGAGAATTCGTCAAGATTTTGATCGTGAATTTTATTCACGGTTTTTGAGCCAGGTGATAATGGAGCAACATCGACTTTTTCTAATTTCGGAGTAGATAAGTTTTGATCTCGTAATTTCTTCTCCTGGTTTCTTTCTTTTATCTCGTTACTAACACTTTCCTTGTTTTTTAAATCCAGGAAATCATTTTCCTTCTTTTCTTCTAATGATATAGTCTTCGTGCAGATTGGTTGACATATATCAGAATTTGAAGTATACATGAGAATTTGAAGCGTTGTCAGTTATATCAGATGCAGGAGTATCATCCTCTAATGATTTGTAGTATTGGCGGAGCTGGCACGGTCAATGTACTTGTTTATAACGGGATCTGGTAGATTAACATCTTTCTCAGAAGAATTATCACTATTTTCTAATCTATCTACAGTATTATTTTGATTCTGTTCCAATTTCGCGACTCTGGATCTGAGCTCAATGTTTTCTTTTGCCGATCGTTCTAATTCCATAATTCTAACTTCAAGCTCATTCTTTTCTTTCGCGATCTGTTCCAATTCTTTAATTCTAGCGATAAGTCTGGCATTTTCTTGTTTCAATAAATCAATTTCGGATTGTATGATTAATAATAACTTTTTTATATAAATGCAGATTTATTCAAAACTTCGAGTTAATTAGAAACTGAGAATAATATATACGTAGTAAAATAATGCCCACGTAATTTTTATTCATATAACAAAAATATAATCAAACATTCGGGTAGATTCGAAGAGCCATGATTCGAAGAATCGCTTAACGGCCTGCTCTGCAATAAAATTTATTACTTTTTAACTTTCCTCATTATATAAGAGAGTGCTTGAAATATCTATTGAATTGATACCAAGAATTAAATTTTGAAAGCTTTTTAATATTGTACATGTGCTTGTAGAAGATGAATTAATTGGTAGGGTAATCATTTACAATTGATTGTAATCGATTATAAACGATTACAATCGATTGTAATCACTACAGATTGATAGACAATGGGTAATCAATTATAATAAATAATTATTTATCATTGATTATTAATTATCGATGAGAATCGATTATTGATTGTAATCGATTACCCATTATTTATCAATCTGCAGCAATTATAATCAATTGTAATCATTTATAATCGATTACAATCGATTAATTAAAATCAATGATCATCAATTATAGATATTCATCGATTCTAAACAAAAAATTGATTATATTCGATTTTAATAATCATTGATTATATCTGATTACAATCAATTATAATTGATTATTAACAATCGATGATAATTGATTATTAGATAATAATCGATTATAATCAGATATAAAAATTTCCTGATGTTAACAATTATAAATATTATTAGTTTTAATAAACTTAATTAGTTTGCATTTAACATAAAACCATAATTAGCTTCCACCCCCTTCCAAAAAAAGACAACATCATCTTGAAATAAGAAAATGTTTATGATACTTTACTTGAAAAGTTTATTTTATTTTGCAAGTGACACTACATGTAAATCTGAATCAAATCAACCCAGATCGACTCAATCCGGATTGCACTACCCCGCTTTAGTGCAACCATAAATCATAGTTCCAGAACGTGATTTTTCCCATGATACAGGAGAACATAAACAAGATATAAACACATGTTTCTTTTCTTTTCTTTCCTTCTCATAACCTGACATGAACCAACACGACCTAGAACTCATTGATTTTGCTATTCAATACAAGATAGACCATCCGAAAGCTGACAGGCACGAAATAACCCAAAAGTTCAACGAGTCAAAGCAAGGTAAGCAAGGAAATGCTCATTTGTGTTTGGTGTCCTTTCATGCTATTCTGTTGGTTATCGATTCACTCAACTCTAAACCTATACCGGTTTTCGTCTACCTCCCACCAGAAACCCAGTTGCGTGGTGGAGTCGAGGTG